GGTATTTTATGGGAAATATTTTTGCCTCAAACACCCCCACATTTAAACCTCTACCCAACCAGTGTTTTATATTTTTAAAACTCGCCCTCAAATACGTAATTTTGCCCTTCCTATGTTGTTCATCAGCGTATATTATTTTGAGCGTTTAAATTAAAAGCGTTTAAATGATTTCAAGTTTCGATGTAAAGCCCTTGATAGCAAAGTACATTAAGCCGATGAAGCCGATCTCAAAATTTTCAATCGCAACAAACCATTTCAAAGCACTAATCAAACACAATCCGGATTGGATTGCAAAAATTGGAAGTATGATGCAATCCAATCCGCAATCAAATCCTGTTTTTTGGAATGGATTTCAAATCCAGGTGCAATCCACCAAAAAGGAATGCAATCAGGATTTTGCAATCCTGCAATCACAATCCTTCCGATGCCTGCATTCATTTTATCATATGTGTACGTGTTTGGGTCAAAAAGTTCAAATTAAGAAACGCATGTATCATGGTCGTGAAGTAGTCATGAGAAATTGCCAAGATTCAGTTCAAGATTTTGGAAAATGCGGAACGATAATCAATAGTCGAAGATAGCCATTTGATTGTTCATGGTATTGGCAGTCTAATGGCGTTTACGGCATGTCTGTATGTCTATTCTGTGATTTTATATGATTTTTTGAACATATAACGTTTTTGGTCGAAAACCAAGAAATCATGACGTCATTGAAACCTCGATATCTCAAAAATTTTCCGGCCGATTTTTTTTTTGAAATTTTGTCACAATAAACGTCAAACAATTACATAGAGGCACCCAAAATTTGGGCGCGCCGTTTTTTTGCTATGGCCCAGCGAAAAAAGTGGGGGCGTTTAACGCCCCCCCCCAGCAACTCGGGGGGGGGGGGGTAACCCTCGCCCGTATAGGGGGGAGTCGAACGGACCCCCCTCGATTTTTTGCGAATAACTCGCGACCTGTGACCTCTTTTCCGTGACCATGTTTGGCCGAAATCGCGATTCGGCGTATGTCGGCTCGCATTAGCCGCGCGTTTGCAAGCTTTTCGTGGTTTCAAACGTTCAAACATGTGATTTGATGTTGCTCCCATACATAAGGGTGGGTGTCAAGGTCACCTGAAGGTCAGGTCAGGTCATTGACCTTTGGTGACCTCGGGTGACCTCGGTTCACTTTTTCGAGTTTTTTTTATGTTCTAGGCTAGTTTTTTAGCTGAATTCGAATTTAGCAACCATTTGAACATTTACGAAGTAGTTTTGGTGCCTTCGTAACATGTTACGAAGCTGTCAGAGGCGGTTGACACGTAATACGAATACCCGTCACAACCCCTACCGGTTGACCTGACCTGACCTGACCCGACCTGGTCTAAATGCTTAAAACATCATCTCTGATCAAAACTAACACGATATTCGTGATCAGCACCCCGGAAAACCACATAGCAGCCATACTCTACGACTTTCTAACAGGTCCCGATTTTCCCCGTTTTCGGGTCATTGACCTGACCTGGGAGGTCACCCGATGACCTAGGACCTTGAAATTGGGTATCATCGGCTTCCTCTCGTAACGGGCAACACGCTCGTTTTTCCGTGAAGCTCTAGCTTGATCAGGGGCGAAACGCGAGGGGGGTCGTGCCGCCGAAGGACGCAACATGGCCTGTGCCGGCGAGGGTTAAAATTGGGTATCATCGGCTTCCTCTCGTCACGGGCAACACGCTTGTTTTTTTTTCCGCGAAGCTCTAGCTCGATCAGGGGCGAAACGGCAAGGGAGGTCCAACGCCCCCCCCCCCCCCCCCTATACGAGTACCTACGTTCGCGGCTGGAAAAACACCAATACAGGGGATGGTTAAAGGCCGGCATCGGGTCTTCAGAATCCAGCGCGGGGCCCTCAGAGGCTAATATGGGCCTTTACAGGCCAGCATGGGGCCTCAGAGGTCAGTGTGGGACCCTCAAAAACCGGCATGGGCCAGCAGGGTAGCGCGCTACAAGGCCAAGGATGTATTACAAGTAGATTAAGGTCAATAAAAGCCGTATTTAGATCAAGAGGACACGCCAAGAGTTTAAGCTGACCATGCCTCCTAAAAAGAGGCAGCGAGCATCACCTACCTATTCGATTTCTGGTTCAAGGAGCAATCATAGTAAGTTTAACTCTGCACTTTTGCAGTCTTCTTAAAATTTTAAATGTATGTAGACTAGAGATGTCAATCGGATACCAACTTTTTGGTATACCGATACCAAACCGATACCAACTTGGTATTTGGTATTTTGATCCTAATGTTGTTGGTATTTTGTTGGTATTACGAATCCGGCTAATGTATAAGAGGATACGAATTCGGCAAAAAGTTGGTATTTCCCTCATGTTCCCAAGTTGGTTTGGTTTCGGTATTTTTCATGGTTTTGATTGGCATTTGATTCGGTATCGGTATCCTGATTTTCCGTTATTGACATCACTAATGTAGACAATAGGCATACCTATAAGGTGAAATACACACGAAATACCATATCACACACGACAAACGTTAAACTATAAATGGCACAGTTGGTTGACTGTGAAAGTGACATAGGCCTTAACCCCCCCCCCCCCAGTCGCAGGTGAGAATGGTTGCACTCCAAAACAAGTGACTGGATCTGCCCTTGGGCAGGGGAGCGGTGAAAAATTTTGCCCACCCAGTGAAAAATCCTTAGAGGAGGCCCTGAGCTCAGCGAGACTAAGGGATTGTGTGGTGCCTTCGGTAAGCCCCTCAAAATCACCCGTGTAGGGCCCTCAGGGCCGCCGGTTATGAAGCCTTTGGAGGCACTCACAGGTACCGGTGTGAGGCTCTAAGAGGCATTGGTGCGGGGCTCCCAGAGGTGCCGCTGTGGGCCCTCAGAGGCGCCGGTGAGGGTCATCACAGTTGCCGTTGTGGGCCCTCAGAGACACTGCAGTAATGTGGGGTTGTCACTTGTCACAGTCGGTTGTGGGACCCTTAGAGCTGCTGGCTCGAACCCTTTACAGGCCGACAGGGGCTCTCAAAGACCGACAAGGGGTTCTCAAGAGGTCTGCGGTGCCTTCGGGAGCCCTGTGGAGTCCTTAGAGACCAGCAAGGTACACTCAAACGCCAGTGGGGCACTCAGAGTCGTCGGTGTAGGGCCCTCAAAAGTCACCGGTGAGTGGCCGTCCGATGCGCAGGTCCCGTCTGAGGCCGTCAGAGGCAGTCCGGCGTTGAGCCCCCAAAGCCGCCGATATATGGCCTTAAGAAGCACTGGCTTCGGGACCTCATTCAGGGGTGCTGGTTGCACTCAGAGGTGGCAGTATGGGGCTCTCAGCTAGGCACCGGTGTGGGGCCTTCACAACCGCCGGTGAGGGTTCTCGCAGGCGCCGTTGTGGGGGCCTTCAACCATTGGTTTAAGGGGGTCATCGCAGACGTGTGTGGAATCCTTAGAGCTGCTGATCCCTGATAGGTCGTTAAATGGCCTGCCCTCGGCGCCGCCTGCCCGGTCTGTCCTTACGTCCTCAAACACGCCTGAGGGCAGACGGTTAAGGGCGAGGAAAGGAAAGTGAGACGAGGTTAGGTGGCATGATGGGGATGAGGAATCCTGGCGGGTCGCCTCACCGCACAGCGTCGTCTCCTCTCGCCCCCGCGCGGCGACTGACTGTCTGTGAAGCGCCGCGGTCGGCTCGCCTCCCCTGTTTGCCACTCTAGGGTGTTATCACTGCCGGCGGCCCGGCCGTGTACATACTTTACCGCCCCGTTCTCCTCTCCCGTCCCTTCCGACCCCTCCCCGCCCCAGCCCTCATCCAACCCACGATGGTCGCTGCGCCGGTCTCCCGTCCGTTTCCCGCTGGCCAGAACCTCAGTTATCTTTGTGCGATACCAAACCGTTCCTGGCCTTAGCGCTCACTCCCGTGCTTACCTCCCAGCGATGCATGCCATCCATTTGGCCATTTGAGGCCTGCCCTCGGCGCCGCCTGCCCGGTGCCGGGCGTCGGCTCCTGTCCTTAACGTCCTCAAACACGCCAAAAACTGCCAAAACGGAGTGACCTGTAGGTGTTTGGTAAGGGCCCTCAGAGGCCGGCAATTAGCCCTCAGAGGTCGCCAATAGGCCCTGAGAAGCCGGCAAGGGGCCCTCAAAGGCCGACAAGGGACACTAAAAAGCCGGTGTGGGGCTCTTATGGAGAGAAGTGTGGCTCTTCGGGCGGAGCACATAAGGTGTTCTTCCGAGCCCTGTGGGGCCCTTCTGAGTCGAAAGATGCCAGCCAGCGTGGACCCTCAGCCGCCAATTGGCGTCGCAAGGCCCCTCGGGCCCGAGAGGCCCCCTGATCCGATGGGGGCACGTGCCCCCTGCTCCCCCCGGGTGCAGATAGAGAATGCAATCGGCGGTGCGGGACACAACAATTGCAATCGTTCCTTCTCCCGTCGCGAGGTCGCCCATCCGACCCATATCCCATGATTGTCAACCCTGGGGCTCGGGTCGGCAATGTACCGGCAAGGAAATCGGCTTTAGATGAGTAAAAAGTTATCAAGAGCCATTAGTTGTCGTTACGTTCAGTAATAACAACTATACAGTGCCAAATGTACCCGACGTACAGCTTGGAGCCGGGCGCCGCCCGGTCTCCACCAGTGACGTCACGCTAATGCTTAGCAACCGGTCCATTGGAAATCACGGGATGATTCTACCTCTCTTATACGGCCTTGGTTGCGTCTATTTCATTTCATATAACTAATTTGAAAATTCGCCCACCAACAATGGTTTCTCTAATTTGAATGGCGAACCATTGAAGTGCATGTGCAAATTCAGAACGTACACAGGGTTACCGTACCAGATCGTGAACGTACACAGGGTTACAGTACCAGATCGTGAACGTACACAGGGTCAGAGTACCAGGTCGTACTGTTGTACGGGTTAACATTGACCTTCTTCTCTCGCCTGGAGGAACCTTATTATTGCACTAAATGCTCTTGCAAAATTGCACCTGCTCTTGCTCTAACAACAGAACAACTTATAGCCAATGGCCCAACGCCCTCGCAATCACCTGCGTAACAGATGTCCATTCCTGCACAATATTTTCCCAAACATCTCCGCCGCCAGCGCGACCAGCGCAGCGGCGTGTCCCAGCGCCAGGCAGAAGAAGGCGCTCTGCATGTCGTGCAGGGTCATCGCCTGCACCTGCTCCTTTTCGCGTCGCTCGCGGCGGTGCTGCGCCACCGCGTCCTGGATCCACTTCTCCACCAGTCCGGCCTGCAGCAGACGCAGCACGCTCTTGCTGAGACGGTCGGCGTAGCAGGCCTGCGGCCGGATCGGGAACGCTAGACCCGTGGAGAAGAAGCTAGCCGTGGCCAGGTGCAGCCGCTCGCCGTCCGGACGGTTCGTCTTAGCCAGGCGCAGCTGCGTGAACTCGTTCATGTAGACGGTGTCGCGGCGCATCTTCACCGTGTGGATGTCCCGGAACCGGTAGGGGACCAGCTTCTCGGCGATGCTGGCCATGCTGGCGTCGTTGGAGTCGGCAAAGCGGCTGATGTACGACCAGACGGCCGAGTTGGGGCTGCAGGCCACCGAGAGAGCGCTGCGCGCCAGGTCCTGTAGCGAATTCACCGCCGGCGCCACGGCCGGCTTGGAGAGCTGCGACACGAGCACCGTCTGGTAGCTGATGCCTATCACCATGCAGAAGAACCACCAGAGGCCCAGCACCATCCGGGCCGTGTCTCCGCGCGGAGTGGACTCGCTCGACTGGCCGAGCAGTGTCCGCACGCTGAGCACCGCAGCTCGCGGCAGGTGCGTTTGCAGACGCCCCGCCATCCGCTGCGGGGTCGGCGCTGAGCGACTGTGCGCGCTCCGCGACCCCGAGAACACATCCGGCAGGAAGGCGAACACAAACATGGCGATGACGAGACTGATGAACAGTAAGATCCAGGTGAGTGTGTCAAACGGACGGACGATCACCACCCATCGCGGCAGCGGCAGGGGCTTGTGACTGATGAACCCAATGTGCTCCACGTGAAACGGGTAGACGTAGTCGACGGCTTGGCGGCGAGCCAGTGTATCGGATATGTCCCCGATTGCCAGATCGGCCAGGTCTCTGTCCAGCATCCCGATCACTCCCGTCCACGAGCCGTTCACAATCTTGCCGAACAGGCCGCTCGAGTCGTTGGGTCGGACGAAGCGCACGCTGAAGCCGTCGTTGGCGGCAATGGTGTCGAGCAGGTCGACCTCGACACCCACCTCTCGGCCGTCGCGCAGCCAGGCGAACGGCGTGGCTGCCGCCGCCGTGGAGGTCACGCGCAGTTCCACGTCACGGAGCGAGCGCGGCTGAGAGGTGAAGTTGGCCACGGTCTGCCAGGGTCCGGGCCGCGCCTGTCGCCGGGCGCAGTCCGTCACTAAGGACCTCCAGGCCGGAGCTGTGCCATCAGCGGCCAGCAGCAGCAGCAGCGGCCGGCTGGTGAAGGAGAACTGGTGCTCCACCAGGTCCGTGACCTCGTCGGCCTGCTCCGGGGGCAGCACCACCACCAGACGACTGCAGACGCGCGTCCAGAGGGTGTGCGGCGGCCGGTGGCTGGGCATGCCGTCCCAGGAGGTCAGCCCCAGCAGCAGCACGCACACGTCCGTCGGACTCTGGTCAGCGGCCAGGTGCTGGCGCTCGGCGGTCGCCCCCGCGAACAGCCTCGTCTCCAGAGAGGCGGCTACGGCGTGGAGCTGGGTCTGCGCGGCCAGCACGGCCGGCGTCCAGGGCTGGTCGTACACCAGCAGCACCCGCTGACCGTCGGACACGGAGGTCAGCGCGCCGGTCAGCGCTGACACCGGCGGCTCCGGCGACCAGCGCTGACCGGCTGACAGGGGAGCCAGCAGCAGCACACCTGCGTGGAAACGGGCTCGGTCAACACAGACAGGCGCCGACAGACATAATAAAAATGGCCATTCTTAACTAGTTTTGAGCAGAATCGCAAGGACTGAACAATAAAAAGGTGTTAAGTTTGACAAAATGTCGGAAAGCGATGCTCTGAGGATTCAAGGTTGGATCAAATATATCTAATGTGGCTCGATAGGCCTTTGCCATAGACTCGAAGTTAATAGCTATAAGCTCGTGCTTCGATCGGTGACTACAAGGCAAAGTTGCTCATCAATTTTAGTCTGCAATCTTTTTTGTCGATAGTTACCATAATTTCATCGTCAGTCGTTTGTTGTACTATACGTCATAGTTCTGTCTCATAATCCAATTATAGCATATGCGACGATAAATTGCTTCACCTGGAAATACACAAGGCTCTATATCGATCTCAATGTTTTGCATGTTTCCCTCTAAGCATCGTGTCCAAGTATTCTAAAAGAGGTGATTACTTCGTAAAGGTGATTTACATTACGACGCATTAACTTTTTGCTATAAATGTTTGGTGATGCGCGCTTTGCTTGTCGTTTTTAACATGGCCCTGTTTTTTATACCTCAGTATGCTATTCACATGTGAATATCCTGTTAATTAAATATCATGTCATATGTACAATGATCCATGTCAATGTCAAGGATTATATTCCATTGTGTATGCTTAGGAGCTCGCATTGAATAAGAATCAGTGAGTTTACTCGCAATAGGAATGTCTTTCAAAACGTTTGCCTTACCTTTCAACAAGGTGCAGAAGATGAACATGATCGTTCACGGGCGTACTTGGCGTTTAATAACACCCAATATGTCCAACGCAACTAAATGTGCGACATTAATAAAATCGCTAGTTGATCTTTGATGCCTTGACTCGTCGGTTGATTACACCTTTTTGAAGTGATTGAAGCTGGCATGTCACATAATCTCCCAGTATTGTATAATTACCACACACGATATCAAGAGTCAAAACTGGAGAGCGGTATGGCCACGTTTTGAGCCCCCACGGTATGAGTGTATCGTTGCACCACTGGATGACACGAAGATCTAAGTCCGATGCACCATCGGGAGACTGTCTGGGGTGGTGTTTCACGACCGGTGGGCTCAGGTCGACTGCGGACAGGTCAGGATGCCCCCTGGGCTTATATGGCTGCCCAACGCCCGCTCCGACGAAGGAAGATTGCCGTGGCCCGCCGGAGTGCGAGGACAACGAATACTTCGATCGACTGAGAAGCAGCGCTCCAGGTACTTTGACAGTCTTATTCCTGAATGATTCGTGCACTGCGTAGTGGCCATATTTGCAGGAGTTCATTTATTTATTTATTTCGTCATCCTTCCAACAGGCTGATGCGCCCAATTACAGGAAGGCTCCTGCTCCTCCTCTTCCTTACCCCTCCCCCCTAGGCTACGGCTAACGTGGGAGCCCACCCCACTCCTGGTGACACAGCTGGGGACGACGCCCGCGGGACAGGCGACACCGGAGGTTTTACTCAACGTTAGAGGTAGATGGTGATGCTAATAAATAAGGGTAATAACTGCAAACGTGGGTATTATATATATAGGCGCAGTTGCGCAGTAACAGTCATCTATTAACCCGCGCCATTATGAGGGGGGGGGGGCATTTTGCCCCCTCCCTGTGGTTTTTCTTTAATAGCGAGAAAACGGCGGCGCGCAGCGCCGACAAATTTTCAGTACCTTCCCGGACATCAATTTGACACCTTCGCACAAAATTTCAAGTCACAGGTCACCTTGGGTCAGGAGTTATTGAGGTCAAACTGAGGTCATGTTCGAGTAAAAATGAGCAAAAAAACATGACATCTTGAAACGCTCACCAAATCTATTGTTTACAAGCAATCTTAAAGTTCTTAATGTGGTTATGTAGACAAAAGACGGCGCTACTAAACTGCTATCTCGGATCTTCCAAATTTTGGGATTTTCACTCCCAAAAGTCAATTTTAATTTTTTTAAAGAAAAACTAAAAAAAATCCCAAAAAATCTAACTTCGAAAAAGGAATGCATGTGATAGTCTCTGCGCTCTTCGATATACATACCAAATTTTAGATCAATACCTCCTTTTTTGGCCAACATATAGCGAAATAACTGTTCAAAATTGATGACATCAAATTTTTGAACTCCATTTTTAGCAATTCTAGACCACGTAGCGCAAAACTAATACCACCATTGAACTCCCCGTGACGAGTTGCATCGAATCGATACCCATTTTATGCAAAAATATCATCTTTGAAATTTGACCTAATTTGACCTGAACTTGACCTACCTTGACCTGACCTTCACCAAACATAATCTCAACTGACCCCAAGGGCTGCCTGTCCCACATAATTGCATTCGGCATATAAAATGGACCATAAAACATGCATCACATGATATTTTTATATTGTGACCCTCAGTGACATGACCTCTGTGACCTGACCTGGTATCAGTGACCTCAAATAGCAAAATATGTGTTTGAAGAACATTTCCCCATCGATGATTTTCAATGAAATGCATTTTACTCGATTTTACAACGCATTTCTTGAAATGCCTGTGAACGGTGAAAATTCGACCTTTGACCTGACCTGTGACGTTATCAGTTGGATCGAGGTCAATGAAATTAGGTCATAAGGTAGTTCCCCGTTGGGGCTATCCAACGCCGTTTGCCGCTTGTCGCTATGTTGCGTGGTTCTCGAGATCTGGGGGGGGGGGGGGCAAAATTGCCTACCCCCATCAGACCGCGTTGCTCGGCAGACCCCATCAGGGCGCGGGTTAACTCATTACCTATACTTTTAACGTCGAAAATTACAATGCTGGCAAATAATATCTTGAACTTTGAGGTACTTATTCAGGGAGGAGTCACCGCTAACGAGAGGCGTGAGAGTAGACAACCGGCAACACTCGCTCGCCGACGGGCTGGCCCTGAGCTTTTTCACGGAAAATATGTGTGCTGTTTTTATATTTTCGTGTTTGTGTGTATTTGCATGTAAGTGTGTTGTGCATGGGTGCAATTGTGCTGTGTATGTTTCTGTGAATGATATGAATTTTTGATAAGGAGAGGCATACTCGTAGACCTATTATGTTATACATTCATAGTTCTATGGGAGAGGTTATGCGCATGTGTGACTTGCGTGTTCCATTTGTTCATGCGCTTTGGTTTGCGTTTGTGTTTAGATGCTACTTCAAATTGACATTGGTGATGCAATTAGTGACAAAGTATGTGGAGTGGAGAAATAATTATTATTCACCGCCATTTATTTTTGTTCGTTGTTATTTGCTGCTATTCATTGCTTACTATTGCAGATATTTCACTCATCACAGGCACCGCCTATTACTTTAACGACTAACTGTTATACACATCTCATGCTTCAACGTATGTTAACGGCTAGTGGCTACTAAGCTTCAGTTGCCTATTAGCATATAGGTTAAAATGCCCATTATGCTCATCTCACATCTGCCATGGCTTTGTATCTAATATTGAGCAAGAAGTTGGAGCTGCGTTCATACAATCATTCTATTCGGCATCGTACGAATGTTCGCTGTATGACTAATGACTATGGTAGTCATTCATTCGTTCGCACAACATTCGTACGATGGCGAGCTTTCTGTTTGTGCACCTCTATTCGATAAACTTGTGTAAAGGATGGTAGTCAGACTAACATCCTTTACACAAGTTTATCGAATAACGTTCAGCCATCATCGACTATGATGGAGCCTGGGGTGGAAACAATACGACATTGCAGCCACAGCAAGGCAGAATGACAACTTAGTCACAATGCACATTTTCTCAATTCATCATTCACTATTTCTGAGGGATGTCTTCTATCAATGGTCTTGGACAAATGTCAACGCTTTGCATGCATGTTCATTCATGCGTTAATATGCTCAGCTGCGTACTTTCCAGCGTAAAGAGGTTCGCAACTGCTCCGGTAAGTAGTCGGGTATATCTTATTCAAATGAACCCCACTTGGCATCGAACATGAGCAATCATTTTCCTCTGTGATGTAAAGTTCAGGTCATTTGCCTGAGCCCTGAGCCTTCCCTATTTGCACAATGGCAGCAAATATTTTTCGGCTCCTCAGTCTTTGCAGAGCGAATCCCTCACAGTGCAGAGAATATTTGAATGTGGGTATTTCATTGTCATAGAATTGGCTCGTGACATTTTTTTTTTACAGTGTACTGCTTTTCGCAACATATCGAGGTGGTTCGCCCCCTCTAACGCGCCTCCTGAACGCGCAGTGACAACTAAAGAAAATGGTGCTCGGGTCGTCAAAACACTTGACTGAAGGACCCCGCCCCCAGGACCCATCCTGGCCAACCTGGGACCGGTTCCACTTGAATGGGACCGGTAGGCCGGCCGCCTCCGGGCGGGCGCGCCGGCCTGTCGGGTCGGGTCGACGCTTCTCTCGCCCGGTCGGTGGTAAGGGGGCACACCCCGGAAAAGTCGATTTACGCACCGCATTACCGTATAGCACTGGCGGTCGCAGCCGCTGGCAAAAGGGGGGGCCAAAGTCACACTCGCGGGACATAACATTTATCCGTCATCGGAGGGGGGGGGGGGGGTGATCGGCTAATTTTTACGCCCCCGAGGCGCCGAAAAAGTTGGCATTACTTATGCTTCATCCACCTCATTTTTGCGTGAAATCTTTAAGCTCAATTTAAGGCAAAATCACCAGTTCCATTTCCCGTCCCACGGTGTTTCCACCGGTCGGGCCACTGCACCATGGCGACGGATCGGTGTAGCATATACTGGAAGGTCGGGCACGCGGATCCATGACATTACCACTATCAAACAATTCGGAAAAGTACAGATAACTCTTGCTTTGAACAAGCATATGTGAAACCCATAGAGCATTTTCAAACCATTGTAGCGGCGGGAGAAAGTAGGTACACCGACCTCTGGAGACCCCCGGCCCCACAGGTTCCTGGTTTTCAAAATTGGCATCTGAGGGCCGCGCGCGACTCGTGCGGGGCTTCGCAACGGCTCTATTGGGGCTCGGCTCACTCAACCTGTCTTATAGTCCTACTGCTAAAAAGACTGGCCCTGAGCCCTAAGGACTTCATCAGTCTCTGCCAGCCCCACACACCGGCTCATGGGGTCCCGACGTCGAAATATGAGGGAATCTGCGCGGGACCATCAGGACGTAAAGTAATCTGGATCAGGACCAACGTAAGGCTGTGCAGGAGTCTGTGTGAGCCCTGTGATCTTCAGAAGCCCACCCATGTATGTTTTCACTTAGAGGCCAGTTTAGGGCCCTCAGAGACCAGTACAGGGCCTGCAGACTGCAAAGGCCAGTAGTTTGAGATCATCAGAGACCGAGGTGGGCTCTCTGAGGCTAATGTGGGTCCTTACTCATTACAGGCCAACATGGGGCCCTCAGAGGTCAGCGTGGGGCCCTTAGAGACCGGCATGAGCCGTCGTTGGACCCCAGAGGCCAGCAGAGGGCCCTCAAAGGCCAAGATGGGCCCTTCTCAGAGGCCAATGCAGGCCCTTAGAGGCCGGCATCGGGTCTTCAGCAGCCAGTGCGGGGCCCTCATTGGCACCTAAATGTTCGTCTTGGGACACCAGAGACAGCAACAAGGCCATTAGAGACCGGTGTGAGACCCTCAGACGCCGGTTGGGGCCCCTGAGGCCGGTTAGGGGCCCTCATATGCCAGATGTGGGGCCTCAGAGGTCGATGTGGGCTCTTAGTGGTCAACGTGGGCGCTTGACCGCCACTGAAGTTCCATCAGAGGTTAGTGTAGGACGCTCAAAGACCGGTGTGGGAGCTATATTAATA